CTCCCCACCCCCCTGCCTCCTCCAACCCCTGCTTGGCCTGGCATCCGCCCCGCCCCCCCCCCTGCCCCCCCAAGGTCCGAGCAATTGCTGACGTCCGCCATCATGCACTCACCAGGCGCGGCACGCCGACCAGTGCAACGAGCTGCGGGTCGCCTTCGAGTTCTTGCTCGAACGCGAGGAGAACGCGCAGGGCTGGATGGGGTAGGAGATCTACCGCCTCCGAGGGGCCGCGACGAACGCGTCGACGATCCGGAGCCATAAGATGCAGAGGCTGCCGCCTTCGCCGCCCGACCCCTCGCCTCGACGACGATGATGCGACTGACGACGACGAAGTGGTTGCGAACATCGGACACGACGAAGCCGACGAAGATGCGAGCTCGCTGCGAGGACGACGACGATAGATCGAGTGTTAGAGGGTACGAGGATACGAGAACGTCGGCGACGACGACGACAATGCGCGCGGGCCTGAAGCACGAGGGCTAGGGCAACGCCGACGACGACCAGGGCGACGACGACACAGTAGGCGGCACTTGAGGACACGGGGATACGAAGGCGACGACGACGACGCCGACGACAAGGCGATGAGTGCCGAGAGGGAGTCTCTGACGCGACTGGCTGCGCTTCGGCCCTGCCGGGCGCGGTGGATCTTCAGCTCGGACTTCTACTCCGAGATCGCGGCGCCGTTTGAGCAGGCACGCGCGCTCAAGGTGTCTGCCCCTCTCTCCATCCCTCCCGTCTCCTTCTCTCCCTCCCTGCCTGTCATCCCTGCCTGTCTCCCTCCCTCTCCCTCGCCATCTTTCCCCCCCTCCCTCCCTCCTAAGGATGGAAGTCTCTGGCTTCAGAAGTGAAGCTAGTTTCTGTCAGAGATGATCGCGCCGCAGCGTCTCTGAAGCTCACGCAGCGCTGTTCGTGCTCGCGACCATACTAGAGTGCCCATGGAAGTCGACGGAAGCGAACGGTTTGGCACGTGCTCCTTATCCTGGACACGAGCTTTTCCTACATATTCACTTTTCGGAAACAGCTATGATTGAGGGGTTGCGGAATGTAGGAAAGAGTTACATAACGTTTTCCCGTGTTCTGATCCAGTTATATATAGGTGATTCCAGACTCCGAACTTAGTGTCAAATAGCAATCCCAGATTCCGAGCTCACTCATATGCAGCAGTTTCCAGGAACTGAATTGTTGATTAGTTGCGCCCCCACGCCCAGACACAAGCCACTGCAGGACAAAATGTGGGCCCAGAGGAGGGTGCGAACGATGGGAAGGAGGACGGGGGGGAGGAGGACTCGAGAAGTGTTCGGAGGAACGAGCGGACAAGGAAGGGTGATGACCAGGGAGGACGATGGAGGACGATGCCCCAAATTGCGTCGCCCACATCCCCCCCGCAGCGTTGTTCTCGCGTACAAAAAAAGGTCCCATAATCAAAAAGACAATTCCAGATGCCTAGCTCGCTCTCGTGCGACAGATTCCAGTAATAGAAGTGCCGCGACAAGGCGAGAGCCCAAAAAGGGGCGCGGACGATGAGAGGAAAAAGGGTGAATGTCGGAAGGAGTAACAGGAGGAGGAGGACAAGGAAGGAGGAGGAAGGGGAGGAGGAGGAGGAGGGCTTGAATGGGAAGCTCTAGGAGGCGCGAGCGGTCGATCGCACCCAACAGTGCCTCTTGGAACCACTGCTGAAATACAAGTCGAATGTGAAGGGCGGCCCGCGTGGCTGCAAATAGAATTGGACAGACAAGGAACGATGCTCTCGCACTTCCGTGCCGCAGCCATTTTTGGGTCAGCATGCTTCCACCTTCGCGCCCTGTTTCAGCAGCGCGTTTCCTCGCAGACCTTTTGGTATCGAGTGTGCGCCCGCAGTTGCTTGACTGGGATGGGACTCTTTGCGCGTCGGTGAGCGGTCTCCGAGAATTAATGGCAGCGTGGTCAGATGAGTTCGCTAAAGCACGATCGAACTGAGCGTGGTCAACTTTCCCTCTGGGCACTTTTCGCGGATGTCTTTCTGGTGCTTCGCCGGGCGTCTCGATTTCTTTGACATTAGACGGTGGCGCCAGAGGGGGAGCGCGAGGCGACTGAGCCGCTCGCGCGCTGGAACCAGAGCCTGTAGCGGCCGAGCCGCCGGGCCTGGCATCCCCGGCCGGGGCAGCAGCGCCTGCCGACGACGCGGCGGGAACGGGGGCAGCTATGCCACCCGGCGTTGCGCCACTCACCACAACGGCTAAGCCGCTCGGTGCAGCCGCTGGCGCTGCTTTGTTAAACTCGTTGAGTGCTGCGCGCATAGGCTCATCATTTTGCGCGCCCTCATTCTCCGATCTCTGGCTCTGTCCTTTTGGTGGCATTCCACGACAGAAAGTTTCGCCGCGAGGCAAAAAGTAGGCATCATCCGTCCATGGGAAAAAGTCACTGTATGCGGCCCCTCTTTCAAGAAAATTCTTGGAATCCGCTGAGTAAAATGAGTGCATTGCACCGCCTCCAGTTCCGTTTGAAACGGCTGGAAAATCGATGTTGGTCAAAGGTGCCCTGAATGGGAGCGCGCCGAATACCGATGTGGGGATATTGCCTTCAGCAGGGGACCAGTCCTGCCAGTGCATGACAAGGTCTTTAACTGCCGCCTCCTGTCCGGCATATCCGTCTTCTCTCGCGGCGCAGGTTATGCGACCATCCCGAACGGCTGAGCCGCCGGAAGGCTGACAGAAAAATAACACGGCTAGCTTGGCCGGTTTGATCATAATCTGCATACAATTGGCCAGCATTCGCGCATTCAATACGCCCTCCATTATTCAGTTTGTAGTCCGGGTGGCTGGCACCGTAATGGAAAACGTCTCCCGGGCGGTGCTTGAGCTGTCGGTAGAGGCTCACTCCGTCGAGAATCATTATTCTAGGCAACATTCCTATTGCTTTGTAGTTTTCTATCCGACGGTTCATTCTGGCTCGAACTAGAGTTGCAACGTCATCCCACATTGGGCCAACGCCCTCTCCATCGTTCTGCCAGCACATGTGGTCCCCACCAATATACATGATATCGATCGCCCCCTCGGGTGAACGGAGCAACGCGTCATCAATCAACTTAACGCCATCTCCTATCATGAACCTGAGGCTTCCAGCGAACGCGAGCGGGTTATCATATCTTTTGGGCCCACTCCCAACTCCGTTTAGCTTAGATGAGTTGTCGACAATGTCATTGAAGTTCCAGAGCGTACAGCGGATCGGAGTGTCAGTCCCTTTTGTGTAACACCCGCTCTGTTCCCACCGAAAGTTTGAAGAGGCATTAAGGATGTCCGAAATCTGTGCTCCACTCATGGCCTGCTGTATACTTCCGAACACCTTCTCACGCAGGTTATATTCAGGGCCCAGGCTAGGCTTCGCGGCCCCTGACCTGTCTTTGAACACAATTGTGGAATCCGAAACAATGTGAATAGAGCAAGACCAAGCAAGTCTCGACCCGTACCT